AAATACCACCTGTGCACCCCCTGTCAGACCATTGAGCAACGGGGGAGCTTTGTCATCCAGGCAGGACTCGTCATGCATGCATGTGAGGGTTTTAAGTTTAACATGTCATTCATCATGGCCGCTGCTCAAGTGGCACACGTCATGGCCGCTGCTCAAGTGGCGCACGGCATGTCACGACACAGCCACTGATCAAGTGGTGCACACATGGCCGCTGCTCAAGTGGCACATGACATGACATGCATGCCTGCCTCATGAACAATTATAGGAATAAGGACAGCAAGCATAAAATAGGCGCCACAATGGATAGTAACACAAGCACGACAGTGGCAGTAGATATAAGCAGCACAACAAGAACAGAGAGACACACCTAAGGAAAACAACAACATCATAGTGACAGTGCAAAGAAACAGAAACAATCAGGCAACCAGCAACTCCCTGTTGTTCATGATGATGTTGATGCTCTTGTTGTGACACCTGCTGTTATTATTGTTGTTCGTAATGTTAATCCTCTTTCCACACTGCTACGGTTGGTTGTCAATCTTGTGAATGCTGTTGATGTTGCTGCTGTTGCTGTTGCTGCTGCCATTGTGACTGTTACTGTTATTGCTGTTGTTCTTGTGATTGCCATTGTTACTGCAGTTGCTACTGTTAATCTTGTTGTTATTGTAACTGTCGTTGCGCTATTGTCAGTAATATTTGTTTATGGTGGTTGATATTCGTGTTCTTAATGTTGTAGTGGTTCTTATCGTTAGGGTATCGGTGCTGTTGTTATTGATGTTGCTACTGCAGTTGTTGCTGGTTGTGTTGTCAATGTGGTTATGGTTGCTGTTGATGTTGGTGCTGTTGTTGGTGGTGTTGGTGTTGTTATTGTGGTTGTTGTTTGATGATGTTGTGTGGCCGGTCTTGTTATTGTTGTGGTGGTTTGCTTGGCGTGTCAGGGCTCGGCACAGCAGAAGGGGCCAGCATCGCCGGCCGCCGATGGTGATCACAGCCTCAGAGCAGGCAGTATTGCCCGAGGAAAAGCGTTCCTTTGTGTTTGCTACATGAAATGAATAATTTAAAGCCAGAAGCACTCTGCACACACACGTAAACATGTGCGTGCACGCTGTTTCTTTGCTTAATATATTGAGTGTAGCAAACCACAAAGTCACACATGTGGTCGCGCGCGCTTCACGCGCGCGCGCGCCTTTCACGCGCGCGCGCGCGCTTTACCGTGCGCGCGCGCGCATGCATCTTTGTGTTTTGCTATATACAATTACTAAAAGCAAACAAACACGCGCGCGCGCTCCTTTCACGCGCGCGCGCGCCTTTCACGCGCGCGCGCGCGCGCGCATCTTGTGTTTTGCTATATACAATTAATAAGCAAACAAACACACGCGCGCGCGCACACACCTGACACGCGCGCGCGCACAGTAAGCGCGCGCGCGCGAGCGAACAGTAAGCGCGCGCGCGCACAGTAAGCGCGCGCGCGCGCGTGTGTGTTTGTTTGCTTAGTAATTGTATATAGCAAAACACAAGGATGCGCACACGCGCGCGCGCGCATGAAAGGAGCGCGCGCGCGCGCATGTGTGACTTTATGTGGTTTGCTACACACAATACTAAGCAAAGAAACAGCGCGCACACACATCGTTACGTGTGCATTCTGTCTGTGCCACAGGAACCTCTTTGCCACATCATCAATGCTCGGCGATTCAATCAATCACTCAGTCAGAGGACTCAGACATCCGCCGGTACTCCGGGACTCTGAGACTCAGAGAGTCAGGAGTCAAAACATCACAGCAGCAGCGGCAGCGATGCCGGGTGTCACAGGTGTGTCCGTACTCTGATGTAAAAAAAGTCCAGGGGCTTAGCCTTTCCCGGAGTAGAATCACCTGGCACCCGCAATGCCAGTTGTCATAGGTCTGTAAATGACTCGAGCGCCCAAGTCCAATACTTCGTTCGTACCGAAATCCATTACCTGTCGGCCTGGGAAGACCATGAATCTCAAAGGTGCTGATAGCAAACTGTGGAAACTTCGCTTAGCAAAACAAAGCCTTCTCGATTCAGCCTCGGCACTGTCCCGGAGCAAAGTGTCGTAGCCACGCTGCTCTAAATCCTCAATTGTTTAGGGAAATCATGTGCCTTTGGCAAACTTCAACCTCATCATGTCTGTCTCTCTTCTGTAACTCTGTCCTCAAGGTCCCGCGCACGCCGCAACCGCCTGATCCAAGGCGGGGTCTGTGTGGTCTTCTCGTTCTCCTTGGGCTCGCTTTCAATGCTGCTGGGCCAGGTGCTGCTGATGCTGCTGCCTTTGCTTTCTTCGGAATCAGCCTGACTGCTGTGATCGTCGTCCTTAACATCGGCCTTGGAATTCCGATCCCGGGGCTCCCAACCACTCCGGCCGCTCGTGCCACTTTTCCCACTCGGCCCACTGCGACTGGCTCCTCCTTGTTCTGCTCCTGCTGTCTTGGGATTCCGCTTTCTTGGTTTCCCTGGCTCTTTGGCTTTCGCCTTCATCCTCGGTGATGCCGGAGCCTTCTTCCCCATCATCCTCTGTGATGCCGGAGCCTTCTTCCCCATCACAGGAACCGGACTCAGAGACTCTGGGAATCTGAGACTCTGGGACTCGGCACAATAAAGTGGCAAGTAAGCCCAGATGCTGCCAGAGAACTCATCCTGTGTTATGGCAGTGCCGCAAAGTCACCGGCCATGCCGGCACACACCATGCTGCACACATGCATTCAAATAGCCTGGAAGCTTTAATTAGTAAATTAGGACTTGGACTGAGGTCTGGGCCACCGAAGGCCCAGTGATGCCCACACACCCGCCTTAGCTGTGTCGGACAGGATCTCAAACTTGGGCTTGTTATGAGGAGATTTGGGGTTAGGCTGTCAAGCAGTCAGGCTTTTATTTCGAGGCCTTGGTCAAAGATGTGCACCACTCCTGTATGTGATGTGTAACTTACTATTTGGCTAGACGTGATCATGCTTTTTATAATTGCTAGATGACATCACAGACAGTGTGGTGGTCACATCTTTGAAGTTACTTTCTTACGTCTTTACACCCACAACTTTGCTAAACTGAAACTAGATAATTACAGAAGCCTGACTACTTAGTACTACTTGGCAGCCTGATCTCTAAAATCAACAGAGGTCCAGCCCTGTTTGAGGCACCTTCAAACAAAAGCATTATATTTACCACTGAAGTTAATCTGTGGAACAACTGCTTCTCAGGCCTGAAAGAAAGACATGACACCTTTCAACCGTCAATGTTTAACTTCGGCTCTGACATCCCCGAGCTTGAACTTTTAAGAGTCTTCTAAACTGTCAACTTCGATGATGTGGACTCTCGATGACAACGATCCGCAAAGGCCTAGGAGCGATGAGGAGTGGTTGCTTAAATTGTGGCTCAGACAGGCAGGCGCTGCAACACGAACAACAAATTGTGTTTTACAGCGACCGGAAAGGTTCTGGGTTCATCCAGCTTGGAGCTTTTGTCCTGGCTGGTCTGCCTGTCTTCACAGAATTCTGCCTGCTGCACGTCGGGTTCAACCAGGACTGTGGAGCTGAGACTCTGTGACTCTGAGTCCTGGTTCTCTTTCCACCGGAGTCTGGGTCTGAGACTCTGTGACTCTGAGTCCTGGTTCTCTTTCCACCGGAGTCGGGGTCTGAGACTCTGTGTCGGTGACTCTGAGCGGCCACCGGCGATCGCGCAACTGTGGGAGTCAACCAACTCGTCGAGGCTTGTGATCTTGATGGCAATGATGGCTGCCCAGCCCCTGAAGCTGGCCTCGGGCTGCTGCTGTGGGCTCGCCAAGAGTTCACAATGCATTTGGCCATGGCTGCAGGGTAGGATCCAGACTTTTTCAGAAGAGCAGGGCGACCCGTGACTTTCGTCTTGCCGTTCGTGTCCACCCATCGAATGTAAGTCTTCACATGTCCAGCTGCGCCACATGGGCAAGACTTGGCCACCTTTGCAATCCAGGAATGGCTGCAAACCAGCTTGAACTGCTTCTTAATTCTCTTCCCCACTTTTGTGTCTGTTTCATAACCACATCGATTCACGATGACAGAATACATGCTGTGCTTCTGCATGAAAGACTCCACAGGGGGGTAGTTGAACATATAACTGCCCACAGGGTTCTCCATGACCACATGTACCCCGCGAAGAAGAGCCAATTCCATGAGAACCAGCGTTGCATCGACCATGAGATTTCCCTCAGCAACACTGGGGGCCGATGTGTTCCCCACATAAGAATTGTCTGCACGACGCTTCGTTGTTGACGCACAAAGGAAGTTCCAAGAAGAACACACGGGTGCGAAGACTGCCAAGCCTCCCTTGCGAACCCGCATAATAGTTTTTACCGCATTGTGGAAGCCTGCCGGAACGACGATGTCTTCTGATTTTTCCCACGAAGATGTGTCAGTTTTCCCACGTTGACGAAATTTGTCAAAGGCCACACTTGCGAGACCCGCCTGCTTGGCTGCCTTTGCGATGCTGCCTACACCTGCAAAGATTTCCGCAACATCGATGTCACGTGGCAAATCTGCCAAAGACTCATCTTCCAGGATAGACATAGCGGTCATTCCAAAAACCTCTGGCTCCATGGCACAGAATCTGGGACTCAGAATCAGGGACTCTGAGTCTGAACAAGCCGAAAGGCTGTTTATCGGTGAATAGCAACCGATGGAAGCAGTGCCGGGCTTTCACCAAGCGCTTGCAAGCACAAGGCAACACTTGCTTTTAGTCCCAAGCGAGACACGCTCGAATCAGGAACTCAGAATCGGTGACTCTGTGACTCTGAGACTTCCGAACTCAGAAACAGTGAGACAGAAACTAGATAGAAGTCCGGACTTCCAAATCACAAAGTCACTTCGAACACTCACCGTCATCTGCCGAAGCGGACCATCATTCGCCAGGAGATATCGGGCAATGTTGAATAGTACGGGTTGTCCTAAGGACCACTCAACAAAAGTCCTGATGTGAAAGAACGAACACCTGTCAACTGTGGCAACTCAGGCTCAGGCTGCTTCAACGATTGGGTCTTCCCGTGGAGCCTCCAACGCCTCCAAGTACCCGTCCTGTGATGGTTCTCGGTTCCTTCCGTCAGCGAGATCTCGGAGTTCTTGGGCCGACCGGAACATGGAGTGTTCAGCTTTCCATGTGCCTGTGAGTTCCTCCAGTGCGTCTGCCAGCTGCCGCAGTTCCTTTGTCCTCTGCTGTCTCATTGGGTGGCTGGCCCGACAAGCTTCTGTTGGGGCTGCGGTGCTGATTCTGTCGAAGCGTGCGTCCGGGATAAGCAAGGTAGGAGGCCCGTTTGGACCGTGGCTTTGCATCCAAGTCTTCACAACACAAAAGACATCGAGAGGATTAGAAGGCCAACCTCTGTCAGTGGGATGCTGCAGCAATAGCTGCTGCTCACGGGGTGCCAAATCCATGCGGAGCTTGAAGGTGAAGGAATGGGGTGCCAGGATGCCTTCACGTCGTTTATAGCAGTTGTGAGGATGGACACACATAGCCCCGAGCCATGACTGGAAATTCCTGACATGTGTGAGGATCTCCACATTCACATCATAGCCCTTGGGTGCCAGGACGGGTGTCATGCCTGTGAGGATGCCCGTCCTGAGGTCTTCTGGCACCATGACCTTGCATCGTCTCAGAACCTTGGCCAAAAGGATGCTGAAGACAAAATCCACGTCTTCGTGCGTGTGGCCTACACGCACAAAGTTCAGGACACAGGACTGAAACTTGAACTTCCGCACAAGCACCCCGAGGAAGTTCGCGACCTCTGCATTCTTGGCCTGTGCTGTAGTGTTATCACTTTGGATAACGAGATGATCAGGCATGGATCTTCCTTGCTGCCTGCAAGCTTCCTGTACACGGGCCAAAGTCCTCGTGAGAATCTCGCAAAAGAAAGAGGCACCGTGAAAGAAGTTCTCGTCATCAGCGAGATAGAAATCAGCACAAAATCCATGGGCCAATGCCAGGTGAATGGTCAAACGGGGTCTGTGGAACTTCTCCAGGTTCTTCGGCTTCCGGAACGGAAGTTGTGGCCAGCTACCCTTACTCTTGTCCATGCCATCCAGGATTATGCAGAGGATGTTTGATCCAGGCACCTTGCTGTACCACCTCAAGTGCCAGTATATGACACGGTCGACATATTGTGCTTTGAGGTGATCCTGCCAAGCCTTCGCCGCCGCTTTCTTTTCTGCAACAGAAGCATCGCCGAAGTGAAGTAGGTTGGAAAACTTGCTGCAATCGTTGCACTGAGCATGTTGTGTCGGCTTGCGCAAGCCAATGCAGTGGCACCATCCTGAGCGACACGAAACATAGTCCCTCTGCAAATGACAATAACCTTCTTAACCAAGGCACTCTTGCTCCACCGCTGCCAGAATGTGCTCCAACAGGCCGCTCTGGACTCTGAGTCTGCACTCTGGGACTCTGGGACTCTGACTAGGCGCCATGCCAAGTAAAGCCACCAAATATCGATTGGCTTTTTGTGCTGCACATACCGCTTGGGCAAGTGTGCATCAGCGGCTGATGCAATGGCTGTGTGTAGCCAAGACTTCTCAGGGTCCCATCCCAACATTGGTGCCAGATCTTCATCATCCCGGCCCAGATCCGGTGCTTGGGATTCTTGCAACTCTTCCTGCTGCACAGTCCAATCAACATTCTCCATATGGCATGTGTCATCCTCTGGGAGAAACTCTGCTGCAGAATGGTACATCTCCAAGAAGAACTGATCCACCGACATACCAGCTTCAGTCACCATCCGTCCGTTAGTGACACGGCCATCGAAGCAATGGCCCTTGCAAAGCTTGCCAAGTGTGCTGGCCGATATCTCGAGTAAAGCAAACAGCTGTCTCTCACAACACCTTTTTTCAAGGAAGATCCACTTGCAGCGAGTGTTGCCAGCTTTGGCATCTCCATAAGACCTGTTCAGGAATGCAGCCCGCCTTGCTGAGCCCATGCCATCAAAAACTCGACGGAAAGCCAAAACATCCTCGAGCTTCAAGCCAGGCTCACACACACTGCAGTGACCCGATCGGCACCGACCAAAGGAGCATGGGCTATCAAGAAGCTCTTTGAGACGGGATTTGTTGCAGTCTGTTCTGTCGGAGGCTGAGAGGTCTTGATCACCAGCAGCCAAAAGTGCTGAAGCAATGGTGAGATGAACCTCCGGCATGGCTGCGTTATCTTCTGTTGCCTTGCAGTTGGCTGGAGTAAAGCTGCGATCCGGGCACGGTGTGGTCCAGTTTGGTCTGTCAGGCCGTTCTGTCCGAAGCTGAGAACTCTGGGATGCAGATGTCCAGGGGTTCATCTGCTCTCTGGGAGTCTGTGCTTTGTGACTTTGCGCTCTGCGACTCTGTAACGCGACCCTCTTCCTGGGGGGCGAAGACGACCCAGAGCCAGTGTGAGAGGGTGTCAGCCAACTTGGTCGGTGCACAGATCCCTCAGCGCCCGATCCCGCAGGAGACATGTTCAGCCATGAGTAGTCCCTACTTGCCCGCCGACTTTCAGAGCCCCCAGGCGCTGGTTCAAGCCAGCTGGGCCTCATGACTGCTGCCCTGCTGGAGCCACAAAGGTTGTGGAATAGGATTCAACACATGATCACATGATCACAGCAACAAATAGTCTCCGAAGCATATCATGTATGTTATATGTGCAGTGAGCTAAGAAGACGTCATTCTCTTTGTCAACACCCCCAGACAATGTGCGACTCAAGGACTATCGGAACTCGGCACCAGAGACTTTGAAAGGGCTAACTGGACTCTGCTCCGTGCCTTGGCAAAGCAAAAGCGGCCGCATTCCTCAGAATTCGACCTCAGTGTCGCCTCATGGGTTGCTGACACTGAAAACCTGTGAAGAACTGGCTTCTTCTTTGAAACCCACGGACAAATCTCAGAGACTCAGAGTCGAGGACTCTGTGACTTAGGGACTCGGTGACTCGGCCCTGCAAGACCCACACATCTCAGGCTTTGCTCTTGTCAATGTTCTTGCTGAGCTTCTCCTTCCAAAGCCGTGCTGCCTCTTTGATCTGCTCTCTCACCTCGTCCTGTGTCATCTTCTTGCCCTGCTTCTGCTTCTTCACCTTGTCCATGTGGTCCTTGACGTGCTTGCAGTAGCTATCCTGGCTCCCTGTGGCACCGCTGTGGATCGACTTGCCCGGGAACTTCTTCTGCAGCTCTTCACGTGTCTCGTAGAAGTAGAAGAGCTTCTTCTTGAGATTGAACACCTCCGCAGCATCGTTGCCGTTAGGAACTTTGCGCCCTCCAAAGGTGAGGGGTTCCGACGTCGACTCGTCCGGCGTCAGCTTAGCCGGCTTATTGCCAGCCGACTTCTGACCTTTGCCGAGGTTGCCCTTCTTAGCATCGCTGGTATTCTCATCAGTAGCAGCCTGCTTCTCGTCCTCGGCGACAGGGTTGTCCTCGCCATCATTTCCATTGGATGCTGCAGTGGAACTGGGCTGCTGAGGCTTCGGAGGTGTCGTAGGAGGCTGCATCTTGAGAGCAGCCTGGCTTTGCCCGGCAGCAGTCTTAGCTTTGTCCACTTGGTGGGTGGCAAACGAAGCCAGCTTTATGGAGGCTTCGGCAGCTTGGGCGGCTTTTTGGGCAGCTACTGAGGCTGCGATGGCTTGCCTGTTGAGCAACATCTGCTGCTGCTGCTGAAAATTCTTCTCCGTCGGCTTCTTGGGTGTTGTCTTGTCTGCCTTCAACTCCTCACGCCCAGGGGTTGGCTGCGTCCAGTCTTTCCACGCGCTCGCAGCGACTCTCTGCTTCTTTTCAGCTATGCTCTCCTGGGTCTGAAGTCCTCTCTTCGGAGATCTTGACCACACCGGCAGTGAGGGCTTCTCGTCAAGAACAGCGGGCTGCTGCTTCTGCTGGCAAGCATCATACCAGTCATCAGAGCCGACCGAGTCGTTCTGCGTCAACGCACGAGGGGCCATGATCGGTGACTCTGAGTCTGTGACTGTGTGACTCTGTGACTCTGAGTCCGGGGTCGTGAACCCTTGGCCGCGATTCTAAGAGATAGTGTCAGAAGGCAGGCAGGTGCCAGAAAAGACATCAGGAATGATCAAGATGCCAGCAACATGCATGCATGTACTGGAGCAAATGACAGGCACTTGCACAGCTGAAGTACATTTTGTTCACACCAGAGCACAAACAAGCTCGCATCATCTCAAAACGTGCTTGCTCCCTTTCGGAGACTCAGGGACTCAAGAACTCAGACCTCTGGGACTCAGGGATCAGTTCGGCATGGTGCTCAGCATGATTGTCTCACAACAAGGGACCCAGAGACTCTGGTTCAGGCCTGATGCACTAGATGCACTAGAAACAAGCCCTTGATGCCTGCAAATCAGGCTACACGGACCAGCTTCTTGGCCTCAATCTTGATAGGCCCTGTCAAATAAATCCCAGGTTTCTCTGGGTTGAAAGTGAGGCCTTGGTCGTTGTCCATCAAAACCCAGCGCTGCTTCAAAGAAACCAAGCCTTCGACATGGCTGCCATCCTTCAGGTTCCAGCCTGCCTTGGTGTCGGGTGAGGTGAGGGCAATGCTGCCCACGTCGTCCCAATCAGGCTGGGCTTTCTTGTTCGTGATCTTGCGCGGGGTCGGCTGAGGGATGAAAACACAAGGATCGCACTTCTTCACATCGAAAACACGATCCTGAGCATCGCCAGCTGAGTCCTGTGCTGCTTTTCACGGTGTTTGTTTGGGTCGAGCAAAGTTGAGGGAAAAAAGAATAGAGAAGGAACTATGCACAGTCCTTCTCAACCCTGGGCTTCAATTTGTGACAGGCAAACTCGATGCTGGTGACATCCATTTTCTTCTCTTCCATCAACTGCAAGTGTGCGCGAAGTGTCTTCAACGGCGAGATTTCCGGCTTGTTGTCTGAAAGCTTGCGAGCTCCACACATGTCCACGTCGCTGCCGAAACCAACGTCCATCATCTCCACCTTGTCGTCCTTGAGAGCCGCCTCCGCTTCCTGTTGCATCAGGGGGCTTGTCTAGACATGTGTGTGCAAAGCACAAAACTGCAGGCATGATGTGCGCATCAGACACTGCAAATGGTGTGTGCCTCATTGATCTTGAACTTGCCAAAAGTCAGGGCCAGAGGACTGGTGTCGTCCAGCTCCACCTCGCACGACGTGGTCTGGATCCAAATGGAACCCTTGGATGTGAAGAAAATCTTGTAGGTCTTCTGGTCAATCTCCACCACCGGCCCTTCCTTCTCCTTCACTTGCTCCACGGTCAGGGACTCTGGGTTCAGGGACTCTGAACTCAGGAGTCTCGCCTTCTTTTGCGGTGGCCCGCCGGCCGCCTCGTCAGCGGAACGCTTCTCACCCTGGTGCGGCTTTCCGCTCTTGTTGTAGCATTCGTTGTGATCCTTGACGAAGCGGTCCCACTGGTCTCGGAGATCAGGGTTGTTAAGCTTCTTGTCCATCTCCTCCAGGTAGGTGGCCTTGAAAGGGATGGTGTCCGCTGCTCCCGGGAAGGTGGCCACGAAATCCTTCTCCTGAACGGCGGGTACTTCCCGCATGTCCTTGAAAGACACGAGTGGCTTCCAGTCCGGAATTGAGATGACCTTCTCCTGTGCGAGGTACTGCAACTTTCGGCGGATGGACGACTGTAGCCAGCGTGAGATCTTTGCGTTCTCTTTTCTCGAATCAATCGCAGCCCCCTTCTCTGTGTGTTTGTCGTCTCGACTGTTCGTGTCAGCCCACACGACACCAACATAGATTCCTTGTGGGGCGGGAACAGCTGGACTTGCAGCACGTCTCATCAATGCTTCGGCCACAGAGTGGTCGTAGGCGAACACATCCACCCAAGAAACACCTGATGGCTGTTGAAGTGTGAGACCCTGCCACAGAGCATCGTGGAACGCTCCCGGAATGTTGAATCCTGCAATCCACTGCTTGCGTCGAGACGGCTTGCTGGCAAGGTCTGCAACAACACCAGCTTGGCTGAAACCTCGGCGTGGGTCAACCATGTCTTTCTGGGCCAACATGGGAATCGGTGTCACGGAGTTCTTCACAGTCACCGGAAGCATCTGCCGTTTCCAAAGCGCCGACTTTGAAAACTCCGAGATCAAGCGGCCCTCCTTGTCGCACTGGTCAGAGAGGGCAATAAAGAACTTGTGGAAGCCCGGCCTTTTGGATTGCGCCGGGATGCTGTTCTGGTCGAAGCACATCAGGACCTCGCGAACGAGAAGTCGGTTCTCCGGCTGGGACACACACTCGGAGATCTTCTGTGTGGCCCCCCCGACATTGGCCTCGACATATTCCTTGTTTGCAGGGAGAGCAGGTTAGTAAGACAACAAGTGTGGAGAGATCATGTCAGCAAGCTACCATGCAGTTGAAGGTCGTTACCCCAGTTACCACAAGTCGGCGCCGCGATGATCATCACAGTCTTGGCCGGATCTTCCGCGACCAGCGGAGCGTAGGTTGCGACAGCAGCTTGCATACCGCTGTAGGAGTCGTAGCCAAGCACACTTGGGTTCATCCAAAAGACCTTGAACATGTTGCAATCAGGAATGCTCTGCTCATCCTGGAACTTGCGAACACAGGTTTCAGCAAATGTGATTGCGTGGGAGGCCTCCTGCAAGTCCCGAACCGGATACCGGTTTTCCTGCCACTTCTCCACGGCCTGCTTCTGGAGAGCCTTTTGCTCGTCCTGGGCTTCTGCTGCGAGACCTTTCGCACTCCGAGCGAAGTCGGATTTCTTCTCCTGGTAGCTGGACCACCCGGCCACCTCCTTGGCGACTTTGGCCATCGCTTTTGCAAGCTCTGCCTTCTGCACATCGAGGTCAGCGTCGGACTCTGAGATCTGGGAATCGGGGACTCCGGAAGCGACCTGAGAGGAATCGTGCAAGCACGGGAGCTGGCGTTTTAGGGCATGGGATGAGTGGGTGCAGAGGTCACTGGAAAAGACTGTTGTGTTTTCCTGCAAATTCCTTGCCTTCGCACCGACATCTGCCAGAAATCTGAAGTTCTCCACCTTCAGCTGTGGGTTCATGACACGGAACTTTTCGAAGAGCTCGACGTCCAGGTAGCCTCGTGCAAACTTGGTTTCGAGCTGCTGCAGCTGCATAGAGGTCAGCACCCTCTGAAACTCTGAGTGGAAGTGTGCGAAGAGAGCCGACATACCCCAAGCCGCGTCTGCTTCTTTTGGGTCTCGATAATTTGCTGCTCCTGTGGCCAAGTTGATCTTCTTCTTCAACCGCTTGGCATCTTGCAGCTTGAAGAGAAAGTACTGCACCTTCCGCCTCACGAACCAGTACCTCTTGCGATTGTCTGCCTTGAGGATTTGCACCCAAAGGTCAGACTTCATGCTGCTCTTCGGAGCCAAGAAGCAAAACAAACAGCACAGCCGGCAGTGGTTCACATGATTGATGATCGATTTCTGAAACGACAGCACAACCTGCCTTGGAAAAACGCAGTGGTCGCCAAGGCCTTGTAGGGAATGGCTGACTGTTTGGGTGCATACAGCTGCCAGTGGTAGTCGATGAGCTGCTGGGTGTCCAAGTCGAGGCTGGGATAGATGACGACTATGCTGGTCTCCAGCTCTGAAAGCTTCTTGGCGTCGTTGGTCGAGCCACCATTGAACTCGTCGATCATGAAACTTGCACATTCAGTCCATGCAAGACCTTCCTCTTTCGCTTGTGCCATGAGCAATGTCGAAACCTGAATGGGATCTGGCCTTGGTCGAGCTGCTTCTGCGAACTTGTCCTGCAGGGACCGGAACCTGTCAAACTTGCTGCTGCCTGTCGTGTGGCATGTGCAGCGAAAGTTGTACAAGGCCTGCAGCTGTGGCAGAATGTGCTTCACATCCTCGTCTGATAGGTCCTTCATCTTGTGGACTGCAAAGAGGATCGCCTTGATCGCTAAGCTCTTTGTGAAGCCGATCGAATGGCCGAGGGCGAAGTCCGGCAGAGGTTCTCCGGCAGCAGGCAGCCCTGGAGGAAGCCAGAGTTGAATCGGATTTGTCAAGCTATCATAGGGTTTTTCTAGAAAGTCAGCAGCGCACCGGATGATGTTGAGCATTTTGCTCTTGCCCTTCTGAGAATGTTCTGGCCGAAAACTTAAATGCCATGGCATGAGCACGAGCTGCTGCGTCACATCCTGTTCGACCAGTGGTACTCGATCATCGGCGCCTGTCACTCTGAAGACCCACCCGACATCCATGCCATGCAGCCTTTTCTGCACAGCCAGGAACATGTTCTTCAAGCTTTGTGTGTCTGTGCCGAAGTTTGCGATCAGGAAATCACCTCAAAACAAATTCAAAGTGTTTGCTGTGTTATCGTTTATCAACCAAGTGAAGTGACCGCATGAAAGTTACTGAGCCCAGTGCAGATCTCCACTGCATCAGCTTGTTCAGGATCGCCGGAGCCTCCGAAAAAATCGTTCAGCCAAGGGATGACCTTGCCAATGACCATCTGCTGTTCCTTCGACAGCATGCTGACGCTGAGAATCAGAGTCAGGGACTCAGGGACTCCGGGACTCAGTCTCTGATGGCGACCCCGATCCGAAATGATGCGAGGAGTTGTGCAGTCACATCAATCTAAATTTCAAAGCTTCACGAGACTTGCTCTAACAAGTGGAGGCTTCGCTTCGGTGCAGATGAATCATCCTGCTTCACGCACTCTGTCAGCTGACTGAGTCTGAGATCCTGACTGAAGAGCTGCAGCTGTGCGTCCACACCTGCTGGTCTACCAGTTTGCAGTTTCTACGAAACTCGTGCTTAGCACCAAGCTTAAGAGAAAACGACAACTACTGCTATCACTCCGGATTCGGGATTCGAAGCCACTAAAGCAGGAGTGAAACCCCAAACTCTAGTCGATGGACAGACACCATTGTTTGCTCGGACTACTAGTAAAGTTACACATTTTCCGGGACTCACGAAATAGTATAGTCACGGCGGCTGTCTGTCTGGTTAGATAGTCTACAGT